CCTACATTACGGAAAGTCACTGGAGGTTTTGGACAGAAGAATTGAAATATATAAAGATATTCCAAGACAACTGCTGGATCTTAGAGCCGCCTATTCTGAACTTGCTAAACTACTAAGGAGCAACGCAATTCCATTCAGGTGGGAATTTCCCCAAGGAATATCTTTTACTTTTAGAGGGAGAAAGGTCAAAGTTAGAACATTGGAAGAGAGAGACAAATTTTTGACTACATACGGAGAGGACCTTCAAAAAGGAATTGAATTACCTTCTGGGCCTGGGGCAACGCCAGCATTAACACCAGCACCTGGGGAACCTGAAGACTCAGAGAAGATACCACCCCTAGAGAAATAACCAGATTGATCCAGGATGTCTCTGCAATTGCTGAGTTGGAATATTAATGGTTGTAACATTCCGGAAAAAAGGAAGAAAATATTTCACATATTAAAAAAAGAACAATTGGACATTATCTGTTTACAAGAAACACATGTGACGAGGCTCCATAGAAAAGTGTTAATAAATAAAAGATTGGGCCAGGAATTTGTATCGTCGGACAAAGTTAAGAAGAGAGGCGTGGTGATATATGCAAAGAGAGCCTGTCACCTAAATTCTTATTTAAAGATGAACATGGAAGAATCTTGGCTATTGAGATACAACATCAAGGAGAGAAACTGTTGATATTAGGAATCTATGCACCTAATGAAGGGAAATCGGAATTTTACAAGAAGTTGCACGAGACAATGCTGGACTATCTGGATTACAACAACATCGTAATGATGGGAGATATGAATGGGGTCGTATCAACTAACATGGACAAGTCACAAAGTCAAAATGTCACAAAAGACGGCAGACTACCTAAAACTTTTTTTGAAATGACTGACAATATGGATTTGATTGATATTTGGAGGACAAAGAACCCACTAGGAAGAGAAGGAACATTCTTTTCTGAAGCCCAACTGACCTGGACAAGAATCGACCAAATATGGATTTCTAGAGGCCTGGCACCTAAGGTCAGAAAAGTGGAAATCTGCCCAAAGACCTGTTCCGACCATAATGCAGTAAAGATGGATATGATACTACTACCAACTGGATCCTTTAGATGGAAGATGAATGACAATTTGTTTAGAGACCAGGAAATTACCAAGAAGGCCCAAAAAGTCTTGAAGGATTACTTTGAGATAAATATGAACACTACGGTGGAAAAAGAATCGTCTGGGACGCAAGTAAAGCTGTAATGAGGGGATTCTTGATACAACAGAATGCAGTAAAGAAAAGAACACAAAATGAGAAAAAAGATAAGATTTTGGATAAAATAAAAGAATTAGAGAAGAAATTAAGAGTGAATCCGAAGTCACAGCCAACTCTGAGAGAAATTAAACTTTATCAAACACAATACTCTAAATTGATAAATCAGGAAATTGAATGGAAGGTTAAATTAATGAAACAAAAACCGTTTGAGTCGGCGAATAAATGTGGAAAACTGCTAGCTTGGCAGTTGAAGAGAAGACAAAGATTAAATACGGTTACAAACTTAGAGGTTGATGGAAAAATCATTCAGAATCCAGTGGATATTAGAAAGTGTTTCCAGAGATATTTCAAAAACTATACACCCAAGGGCCGCAAGACGAAGTTGAGATTAAACAATTTTTGGCAAAAAATGGACTATCTAAATTGTCACAAGAGAATAGGACAATCCTGAACTCTAAAATAACACGACAGGAGATTGAACAAGCTATCCAGAACATGCAACTTGGCAAATCTCCAGGGCCAGATGGGCTGACCTCCAAGTACTATAAGACATTAAAAGACTATTTGATACAACCTTTGATGGAGGTCAGCAATGAAATTATGGAGGGGAAGAGGGCACCGGAGTCGTGGAAGGAAGCGTTTATCACATTAATACCAAAGTCGGAAGCTGAAAAGACACAACTTAAGAACTACCGCCCCATCTCCCTTTTAAATGTGGATTACAAAATATTTGCAGACATTTTGGCAAGTAGATTTAAAAAAGTTTTAAATGAAGTAATTCATAAGGACCAGGCCGGCTTTCTCCCAGGTAGACATCTGTTTGCAAATACAAGGAACATTATTGACATCTTGGAACTTTTGCAAACAGATATAAATACAAAAGCAGTTTTAATTTTTATAGATGCGGAGAAGGCCTTTGACAATATCTCCTGGAAATTTATGATGGGAAACTTAAAAGAGATGGGAGTGGGACGGGGTTTTGAGAATGGGATTGAGGCGATATATTCAGAACAGAAAGCTAAATTGATAGTTAATAATGTGGTTACAGAAGAGTTCAAAATTGAAAAAGGGACACGACAAGGTTGCCCTATCCCCCTTTGTTATTCATTTCGGTTCTGGAAGTGCTATTGAACATAATTAGAGGGGATCGGTTGGTGGAAGGAATTCAGGTCGGTCAGAAACAATATAAATTAAAAGCCTTTGCAGATGACCTGGTTTTGACCCTGCAGAAGCCAGAGCCCAGTACGAAAAGAGTATTACAACTGATTAATGACTTTGGTCGGGTGGCTGGATTTAAATTAAATAAACAGAAAACCAAGGTTTTGGGGAAAAATTTGACAGATACAGAGTCAGAACGGTTTCAGAATGAGACGGAACTTAATGTGGTTAAAAAAGTAAAATACCTAGGGGTAAATATAACAGCAAAAAATCTAAGTCTATTTAAGGACAACTATGAAAAATGCTGGACAGAAATTAAGAGAGACTTAGATAGTTGGTCAAAATTGAAACTTTCTTTGTTAGGCCGAATTGCTGCTATTAAGATGAATGTATTGCCAAGGATGTTGTTTTTATTTCAAACACTTCAGGTTTTGGACAAAACGGAGTGCTTTCAGAAGTGGCAGAGAGATATTTCTAAGTTTGTCTGGCAGGGCAAAAGCCCAGAATTAAGTTTAAGATATTAACTGATGCAAAACAAAGAGGGGGCTTTGCCCTGCCAGACTTAAAGTTGTATTATGAAGCCGCAGCGTTCTGCTGGCTAAAAGATTGGCTACTCCTTGAAGACACTGATGTGTTGGACCTGGAAGGGTTTAATAATGTTTTTGGATGGCATGCATATTTATGGTATGACAAGGTTAAAGCAAATAAGGCCTTTAAGAACCATATTGTCAGAAAATCACTGTTTAATGTCTGGACAAAATATAAAGACTTGCTGGAAAATAAAACTCCCAGGTGGCTTTCACCACTAGAAGCTAAGGCCCGAAAAAGACCCAATATGGAGGCTAAATGGCCAAAATACTGGGAAATACTAGAAAAGGATGGAGACAATTGGAAATTGCAGAGTTTGGAGAAAATGAAAGACAAAGTGCGAGATTGGTTACATTACGCTCAGATTAAAGAAGTTTTTAAAAATGATAAGAAATTAGGGTTCCAGGTGGAGAAATCGAAACTAGAAACAGAATTGTTAGAACCAAAGATTAAGGTACTATCAAGGATGTATAACTTGCTGTTAGAATGGAATACACAAGATGAAACGGTTAAATCGGCTATGATAAGGTGGGCACAGGACATTGGGTATAATATTATGTTTGAGGACTGGGAAAGGTTGTGGAGTAATGGATTGAAATTTACTGCATGTAACGCTTTGAAAGAGAATGTAATGAAAATGATTTATAGATGGTATATGACCCCAGTCAAACTTGCAAAAATTTACCACCTGTCTGACAATAAGTGTTGGAAATGCAAAGAGTGTGAGGGAACGTTTTTCCACCTCTGGTGGACTTGCCCTAAAGTGAAGGCGTTCTGGGAAATGATTTATAATGAATTGAAAAAGGTATTTAAATATACCTTCACTAAGAAACCAGAGGCTTTCCTTTTGGGTATTGTCGGCCAAGGGGTGGCAAAGAGGGACCAGACATTTTTATGTATGCAACAACAGCAGCAAGGATACTTCTCGCAAAATACTGGAAAACTCAAGATCTACCCACACTGGAAGAATGGCAGATGCAACTGATAGACTACATGGAACTGGCTGAAATGACCGGCAGAATTCGTGACCTGGGAGAAGAGAGGATAGAGGAGGATTGGAAGAAATTTAAGAATTATCTACAAAAACATTGTAATTTGAGTGAATGCTAAATAAGATGCTAGACTAAAACAACTGAGCACCACTAAATTTAGAATTTTTTCAAGAAAACAAGTAAGATTGTGAAAACTTAACTCCTTTCGAGAATTATAAGATTATGAAATATAGAAGGGATATAAGAATTTAAATAAGATGATAAATTGCTGATAAAATGTTATAACGATGAAAGTGGGAGCGGGAGATGTGAGGAAGTCCAAAGAAAATGTGAAACTATGTTAAGACAAATGTTATATTGTTTATCATGTTTATTTCTATTGTAAAACCCAATAAATTGCTTTAAAAAAAAAAAATAAAGATAGGAACAACAGGTCCAAGAGCCAAATATGGCCCTCCACACCTCTCAATCAGGCCCTCAGAATTCACCCCAGGCCACGTCTCTCACTGACCCTGCTTTGCCACACAAATGCTTTTGTCCGGATGGAATGTTTCCTTGAACTTTGATAATGCCTCTTGCTTGCCTGGAAGCCTGGAAGATAGAGAGGGGTGTCCAATACAGCCTACTGTACACAAGCAAAATTCTGTATTCATTGCTCCACCCACTTTTCCTCTGGTTCCACCCACCAGTGACATGTGACCCCCAGAAGACCACTCAGCCCAAAGTGTGGAACATAGAAGGGATGGAAAGGTGGATGACCCCATGTTCCCCTCCTGTGATTCCAAGTCACACATGATTAGAGGGCCAGAGACTGCCCCACTACGAGGAAGACCCTTTTCCAAGAAAACTTGAGCCTAACACTTTCCAAATGGAGTACAATTGACAGTTTTAAGCAAGCATATGTTCATTGCAATTTAATTTGATATTTTTGTTTTATGTGTGGTTTATTTAAAAAAAAAAATCTGCCCCCAAACCCTGAGAAGGTTTGTGATGGACATGGAACAACATGCACACATGAGAACATATATATGAGACATTTATTTTGTTCCAATAAGGCAAGATTCACACTTGGAGAATAACAACACATTGTTTTCCGTTTAGGCTTCTCTTTTCTGCCTCTCTTTTAATGAGGCTGTTGCCTCCCACTATTTTATGTATTTGTCCTTGTTAATGTTCAGCTGTTACTTCTACAGCCTTCCCTTTAAAGCTTTCTTTTGGGCTATTGGTGTTGCCCTGAGATCTGCAAAGATGCCTTTAGCTATTCAGATCCTTTGGGAAATACTTTGGCCCTCCCCTTGAATGGGAAGACTCCACGTGATGCAATTTGTGCCTCCTTTTGCCGCCAAGTTTATCGTAGGGCCCTCTCTCCTGCCCTACTACAGCAAACCTGCCTCTGGGTCTTCCTGCGCTCCTGCATCTCTCTGAACAATCATACCAGCCTTTAGTGAAACTTTCTTGAGAGATTCTGCATTCTGGAGGAAAATATGATCTCTCTCTGGAGCTCGGCAGGAAGGTTTGACTGTATACTCTGGCTGGCACACCCTTGCAATACAATGGGTCATCGTACCTGTATCTCTCACAGTCTTGTCTATAGTAAAGGTATCTCCAGCCTGGCTCACTGGGGACCCTGTTTCTCAAATAATCATAGTCTTTGCTCCTTTGTTTTCTAAAGTGAGTTGAACTCTGAGACTTGGATTTGCTTATGTCTCTAGCCACAAAGCCCTCGCTTCTTAATGGCAGGCTGCTCCTTAATAGTAAGCTCATATCTCTTGATTTGGACTTTCTGGGCTCTCTTCTAAGCCTCTTGTCCCTGGAATAGTTTGAATGGTGCCTTCCTTCATGTGGATGCCTTGCTCTTCCTCTTCCTCCATGTTTTTCCTTGGGGGAAGAATAGCCTTCTTCAAAATTGTATTCCATATCCCTCAAAGTGCACTTTTTAAAGATACCCTTTCGGCCTGGAGACAATGTTGCATGCCTCTCTGAAGATGAGCTTTTTGAGTGACCTATGGGGAAATCCAGATCTTTCCATTTGGTTGCTTCTTCCTTTGCAGAGTTGTGCACAGCCACCAGGCTAACAACATCATCATCATTAAAGCTAAATGCATTGTAATCTCCAGATCCATTTGGAGAATTCTTAGAGACTTCAGTGTGCTTTGAGTTTTGGGTGTGGACAGGACGCAGTTCCCCTATACCCTCATCTTCCTCTTTGCATTGATGAGACTGGGGGTGAGATAATGATCCAACTGGTTGTGTTTTTTTACCGATCTTGATCTTCATAAAGCTGTCTGGTGTCCGTCTCCCTTTTTCGGTATCACTGTTGGACAAGTCCTCCAAATCATTTCCTTCATCATTCGTTTGGGATATTCCGTCTGTTCCAGCAAACGCATCAGTTAGATCTTTCTGTGAAGTAGAGTGCAAGCATCCTATGTTCCTGTCCTCTACTTCACCATCAGTTTTGGGTGCCTCTTCATTATCATGCTCAACATCTGAAGATGCGGAAGAGACGGAAGAGTTAGAATCTTCCTGCGTGAAAGCAGGACAGGCATATGAGGCATTCCAGTCGTACTTCTTCAAGTTGAAGGGGGACTGCACAAAACTGATGAACTCATGCAGGAAGTGGACTGTGAATTGACGCAAGTGAGGCCGTAGCAGGTCCTCAAAGTCCTTGCTCTGCAGATCATGCTGAGTCATGTTGTTGAGGATAAAGTTCAGTAAGGTATGAATCAGTGGCCTCTGATTGCCACACAAGACTTTTAATTCTCGTTTCAGCCATGGAATCAATCTGTCAAAGCACCTTGGGTTTCTTCTGAATAATTCTGCTGAAGGAGTTCGGTTGAACTCTGGATTTTTAGTGGTTTGGACCTGGATGCCAGCACGGTATAGAGCTTTCCTGAAATGAATTACAGCTTGGGTTTTAAATTTCCCAAGGCTGATGACTTCTATATTAGCGTCTTTCTTTGTGACTGTGAACTGTTTCATGAGCTGGTAAAGATCCTTCTCTCTCTGAGACTGTGTTCCTTTAACTTCCTCATCCAATATGCCATTGTCGGGGGGCGATGCAGGTCTTTGGGTGGAAGCTGATGTGTGACCTTCCCCACAACCAGAAAGGGAGGTGCCCTTCAAAGGCAGAACATATTCACACAATGCACCTCTGGTGTTTACAGTGTGGAAGAAAGAATAGAAATGCTCCTTGCACAGTGGGCATATCGCTTTCCTCCTTGACCACTTCTGGATACAGTCAAAGCAGAACCTGTGATTGCAAGGGTTCAAGTAAGTTGGGTCTCGGATTCTTTCCAAGCACATGGCACATTTTGAGTTTTTAGCTGTATCTGTTGGCATTCTCCTACCTAAAGAACCCCCACTTGAGGGTCTAAGGCCAGTTCTTGGCTTACATTCCTTATTTGGGGGTCTCATGATCTGAAAGAAAGCACACAGAAGACTTAACATAGGCAACAGAACACATACTCCCCCTACCGTAGAAACCTGATCGTTCCCCAATGCTATTGGAACCTAGACTAAGGAATAAATTGGGCTGGATCAAAAATAAATGAGGGTAAAAATGGAAAGCATCGGGTTGGAGAATGCTGCTTTGCACTAAGCAAGTCAAAAAAATGCACTTCTTCCCTATATCCCCCACCTTCCATTGCCCCCAATTCACTTCTGCTCACCTCTTCCAAGTTATTATTTCTAAGAATGTACTTGGTTTCAGCTGATTGTTCTCTTTCCCATGGAGACAACGTTCAATTCGAGTAAACAGAACACACTGAACGTTCTAGCTGTGAGCTCACTATGCAGGAAGACAAAGGATCCTTTTTTCAATCCTTGCATAAGACGGTGCTTATGAACCCATTGAAGGTGGTGGGCTTTAAACATCTGAACTATAAACAGAATTGTTTAACTTATTGCTAGCATGTTTGGGCCACAGCCAACCTGACACTCCTGCCATTGTGTTTGCACTGCACTAACCTTCATACAGCTTGCCAGTAAGCACCAGTAACTCAGGAGGTCAGGTGAACGCAGCCACTCCACTATGCCATCCACTACTGGAAGTCTTCATGCTTGAAGTGCCTGTTTTGTATTTCAGTTCTTGCCTGTGCCATGTTGCTTCAGACCCCAGGAGAGGTGATGCTGGTGCAGGAAAAGGTCATGACAATTGTGGGCTCCTTCCATCTGATCTTGGCCTTCCAGCACTATCAAATAACTTGGGAAAGGAGCCATTCTTCAGCAACTCTCAGCTGCCTTGTTTTAGAAGGTTGTCTTGGAAGAAGGTGCCAATCTGTTACTCCTAGGGCCGAAAACTCCAAAGCTTGTCAGTTGGTTTAATTAAACACAACACCCTATTTGCATTTGGTGAAAGTGGTTACTACTTAGCATACTGGCTCTCGGAGACAAGATCATTTCCCCCAAAATGTGCCTTCAACAGACTATTCCTGCTTCAGCTATGATGGATATTTGTGATCCACCTGATTTCCCTCATAATAAGTAGGTTTAAGAAATACAGTCATCTGACTAAATTTCAAAGCTGCCATGGTTATTTGGGGACAGACCTTGTAACTTTAACTAATAACGATGCTTATGGCATGCAGATCTTATGTCACCCTAAAATGATACTTCTGGATTTGGGTTACAGTGTAGGTCCAAGTGTCTCAGCTGCAAAAAATTGCTTAAAGCACAGGTTTCAGGAATAATTTGAAAAGTCATTGGCCTCTCTCAGCACTCTAAAGTTAAGCATAAGTCCTCCCTTTGGACCATTTGGGGGTGGGGTAAATGAAACTTTTCAAGGGGGAAGCTAAGGGGAGGGAAGAAGACATTTATCTGATATTTTTGAATATGGGTTGCTGCTTACCTTACTAAATCTTATGAGATAGCAGCACCCCACAAAATTAAATCCTATGCAGCTAGTAAGTGGAGAATTCAAACTTTTGGGTGCTGCTTTGGAAGCTCCTTCCTTGCAGCGGGGAGGAGTACGTTTCCACACACTATTCAAAATGTTGGTGCTGATGTTTAAAGCCCTAAGCAGCCTTGGCCCAGTATACCTGAAGGAGCATCTCCACCCCCACCATTCAGCTTGAAAACTGAGGTCCAGCTCTGAGGGCCTTCTGGCAGTTCCCTCACTGTGAGATGTGAGGTTACAGGGAACCAGGCAGAAGGCCTTCTTGCTGGTGGCGCCCGCCCTGTGGAATGTCCTCCCATCAGATGTCAAGGAAATAAATAACTATCTGACTTTTAGAAGCCATCTGAAGGCAGCCCTGTTTAGGGAAGTTTCTAATGTTTGATGTTTTATTCTGTTTTTAATCTGTTGGGAGCCGCCCAGAGTGGCTGGGGAGACCCAGGCGGATGGGGGGAGTATAAACAAACAAACAAACAAACAAACAAACAAACAAACAAACAAATAAACAATTCTGCATGGGGAATCTGTGACTGTTCAGATGTTGCCTGGGTTCAGCTTCCATCAGCCCCAGCCAGCAGGGTCAATGGTCAGGGAAGCATTTTCAGGGTGATGAAAGGCCTCTGAAGAGGACCTTAAGATTCAGCAGGCAAACAGTAGGAAAAAGTAGGCAATCTTCCAGGTAATCTGGTCTCAAGCAATTTAAGGCTTTATAATCCATGGGTTAAAAGCAGCACTTTAAAAGCAGCACCCCTTCTTCCTCAGGTTTCATCCATTAGCAGATCTATTTTGATGAAAAGCTCTTTAGGGCTGGACCCTGTTTTTATTTTACTTCTGCAAAATATTGTGCAGCATACCAATTGTATTATGCATATATATGTGTACATTTGTACACATATAGAACAGTGCTGGAGAGCCAACACGTTCAGTTGCCTTTTATACTCTGTGTTGCATGCAGAAGGTCCCAGGTTCAATTTCCAGCATCTCTAGGTCAGCTGAGAAAACGTGGCATAAAACCAGTTTCGTATTTCCTTCCTAACCAAAAAATATATATCTGCAATGACTATATCTAGCCATGGTTGTATGTAACCTCTAGGTCTAGAAGCGGCATGCTACACTATGGAATATCAGCTTGTGAGAGCAGCAACGTAATAGGTTCATTGCCTTCTTCTGCTTTTGGGCTTCCTTTGGGAATCTGGTTGACTGCCGTGAGATATATAGGATGCTGGAGTATACAGATTGAGGGTCTGACCCACCAGAACACTTATTTTATTCCTAGAAACAACTGCACAAGTCTTCTTTTTCTTCTTCTTCTTCTTCTTTTTCTTCTTCTTCTTCTTCTTCTTCTTCTTCTTCTTCTTCTTCTTCTTCTTCTTCTTCTTCCGGCGATCACCCGTAGCCAGTAAGATTGTCTTCCATAAACACGGTTTTAACAATGAGTCTGTGACTGTGGAGGCCAATTCTGGACCCACATGTCCTTCCACAGTGGGGACATTGGTTCCCGGGCGGGAGTTGATCATGGTGTGGATTTGCCAAGCATGCCTTCCTCTTAGCATGTTTCTCCCTTGCATTCTGAGTTCAAGTGTCTTCAAAGTCCATTACACCTTTGGTAAAGGCTGTTCTCCAACTGGAGCGCTCACAGGCCAGTGTTTCCCAGTTGTTGGTGTTTATACTACATTTTTTTAGATTTGCCTTGAGACAGTCTTTAAACCTCTTTTGTTGACCACCAGCATTACGCTTTCCATTTTTAAGTTCAGAATAGAGTTGTTGTTTTGGAAGACGATCATAAGGCATCCACACAACATGACCAGTCCACCAAAGTAGATGTTGAAGAATCATTGCTTCAACACTTTGCTTCTTCCAGTACACTGTTATTAGTTCGCCTGTCTTCCCAAGTGATGTGTAAGATTTTTCAGAGACACTGTTGATGCAATCTTTTGAGAAGTTGGAGATGGTATCTGTAAGTGGTCCATGTTTCACAAGCATACATTAAGGTTGGTAGTACAATAGCTTTGTAAACAAGCATTTTGGTTTCCCTGTGAATGTCCTGGTCCTCAAACACTCTGCACTTCAATCAGGAGAAAGCCGCACTTGCAGAGCTCAGGCAATGCTGAATTTCGGTATCAGTGTTGACCCTTGTGTAAAGATAACTGCCTAGGTAGGAGAAGTGATCGACATTTTCCAACGTTACACCATTGAGTTGGATTTGTGGCGCTACAGAGGGGTTATTTTGCACTTGTTGGTGCAGCACTTTGGATGTTGGTTTTTTTGGATGTTGAGCGACAGGCCAAGCTTTTCGTAAGCTTCTGCGAAGATATTTAGGATGGTTTGAAGGTCACCCTCTGAGCGTGCACACACTACGTTGTCATCAGCATACTGAAGCTCTATGACGGAAGTTACAGTAACCTTACTCTTTGCTTTCAGCCTGCTCAGATTGAAGAGTTTTCCATCTATTCGATATATGATTTCTACCCCAGTGGGGAGTTTCCCTTCGACAAAGTGTAGGATCATGGCAATGAAAATAATGAATAGAGTTGGAGCAATAACACAACCCTGTTGGGGGAACATTTAGGCTAACCTTTAAAAGAGCCACAAATGCAAAAGGAGCCTAAGCCAGCATTAAAACACTGGTCCATGCCAGGTTTTACTAAATTAAGGTGCTAGACTATAACTCCCATCATTCTTGACCATTGGCCATGCTGGCTGGGGCTGATGGGAAAGGCATCTGAAGGACATCATGTTGTCTACACCCTACGAGGTTGTGCAGGGTAGATTGTTCCTGTCCAGTGTAGTTTCTGATGAACCCACACAAAACAGAGGGAGAGCAATAGTCTTGATTCCCTCACTGCAGGAAGCAAAGTTACAGGGAATCAGGCAGAGGACCTTCTCGGTAGTGGTGCCCGCCCTGTGGAACGCCCTCCCATCAGATGTCAAAGAAATAAACAACTATATGACAGAAGACATTTGAAGGCAGCCCTGTTTAGGGAAGTTTTTAATGACAGGTGTTTTAATGTACAGTGGTACCTCAGGTTAAGTACTTAATTCGTTCCGGAGATCCGTACTTAACCTGAAACTGTTCTTAACCTGAAGCCCCACTTTAGCTAATGGGGCCTCCTGCTGCTGTTGCGCCACTGGAGCCCGATTTCTGTTCTCATCCTGAAGCAAAGTTCTTAACCTGAAGCACTATTTCTGGGTTAGCGGAGTCTGTAACCTGAAGCGTATGTATCCTGAAGCGTATGTAACCTGAGGTACCACCTTCTGTTGGAAGCCGCCCAGAGTAGCTGGGAAGGCCCAGTCAGATGGGCGGGATAGAAATAAATTATTATTATTATTATTATTATTATTATTATTATTATTATTATTATTACTACTACTACTACTACTACTACTACTACTGTTAGAAAACATTTATACAGTAATTTAATAGAAATTGTTTATGCAGGGTTCATAATTCACCCCAAAATAGCTGTCCTCTGCTGTCCCTCAAAATAATTTGCTTGTGTGGTTTAAACATGATAGTAGCTCCACTCTCTAATAAAACAAATAACTAATTAATGAAGATCCTGTCAAATTTCTATTCATCATTCTTTTTTGCTCCCTATACATTGTCTCCTGTAATTGTTTAGGTACCGGTAAGTATTTTGGTTATCAGTGTTTTGCTTCAGACTCAACACCAGATTTCTTTTATCATTCATTCAACTCATTTTTTTCATATATACGAATTTATTGGTTTGAGCATAACATGTATAACCCCATTAAGAGAACAACTTAACAAGTTCCCTTGTGGGTTATTGGACTGATTTTCCTGATGTGTAAATCAAGGTCTTCTGATAAATGAAAAAAATCCACCCTTCCTCTTGGTATCAGAACCACTTGGTGTGTCTTCTGCAGAGGAGTGCAGTTCTGTAGAGCTACCCTTTTCTTCATCTTCCCATGCCATCTGACCAGTGTCATTAGTTTCTCTTGTTTTCAACTCTATGTGCTCAATAACCAAAATGTCTTCTGCTTTGGGTTGAAGCACCTCAATAACAATGATCTCCTCTCCTTTATGATGGATCAGCTTGGTGCTTACCATGTCCTTTTGTTGTGATGGTGTCTGATCCATGCTATCTGCCTCTTGCTCTTGAGATGGAAGCTGCAAAGCATCAAACACTCGATTACTGCTAGCAGTCTGGCCAACATTAGAGATAGCTGTACTTGCACTATGAGTGCTGCCACCAAAGCTATGACTGTTTAAGGCATTCTGCTTGTTTACTGGCTCTTCTTCTTCATCAATATCATCTATAGTTTGATGTGCACTCTCCATACAATTGGGGATGGCTTTGCATAGCAATGGCATACTCTCTTCTATCTCATTGAGGACACGTTCATGTAATGGGCAGTGCCTATTGTGTGACCCTAAATGTGCATCAGCTTGGAAAAATACGTGCATGTTGTCCTGACTTCTTACAAGTGCTCCATCTGAGGACCCAAAAGGAAGAAAAAACTCATCCAGAGTCTGGCTGGAACTGGAACTGGTTGCTCCTTGTATTTCGTCATCCCAAGTTCCTTCCTCATTACTTGTCACTGATTCTCTATCTTCCCCCTCATTCTCATCAGAGTCTTCCGTTTCCTCCTCCTCCTCCTCCTCTTCTGAAGATGATGTAGTAAATGATGAATTGGACTGGAACCCATCATCATGGATAGGAAAGGGAATGTCATAAGTGGCTCTCCAGTCATAGGCCTTAATGTTGAAAGGGAGCGAGCAAAATTGATGAATTCATGCAAGAAATGATTGGTGTAGTGGAGTAAATGAGGCTGCACAATGTCAGCAAAGGCTTGGCTGTCCAGATCAAAGATAGTTATGTTGTTCAATATGATATGCTGTATGTTGTTGATCAAGGATGCATGTGTACCACAGAGCACTCTCAGTTCACGCTTCAACCAGGGAACCAACCTGTTAAGACGGACAGGGTTCCTGTGGAAAAAATCAGCTGATATATCCCTATAAAAACCTCCACTCTGGACGTTCCTGACACGTGCTCCAGACCGATAAAGGCCCCTCCTGAACTTAATTGTAACCTGCTCTCGGATTTGCCCAAGGGAGATGCCTCCTGGATGGGATGACCTCCTTATTCCAAGCTGTCTCATCAGCTCATCAAGTGTTCTCATCCTACCTTCGGAGTATCCTTCATACAAGATCCCATTGTCTGGCAGCGACTCAGGTCGGTGATCAATTGCTGACCTCTCCCCACACAGGCCATAGGATGCATTTTCAAAGGGAATAATGTACTCTTCAAAATCAGTGTCGGAATTTATGGTGTGAAAGAAAGAGTGGAAATGTTGTTTACAGAGTGGGCATTCTGCTTTCCTTTCTGACCACTCCAGGATGCAAACAAAACAGAATCTATGGAAGCAGGGATTTAAGAAGGCCACGTTCCTTATTCTTTCCAGGCAGATAGGACATCTTGAGTCAGAAGGTCCATCTGTTCCTTGGGCACTGTTCTCATTCCCTGAGCCATTCACAGATGAAAAGCTGTTGTCAGAAGTAGGCTCTTCACTGGATGATGCCATAATCTAATAAATAAGGAGAAAAAGATGAGCTCAGGCTATCAAAAAAAGAGAAAGTCATTGAGAAAACTGTCCCTTAATCAAAAATTGACACAGGACCTAATTATGAAGAAATGTGCTATTTTGGTTTTATTTTTTGTGATGGATTCAACAATAAAACTGATCTGAATTGAAATGGTGCTATCTCTTGCACTTTTACGATGCTTTTTCAAACTCAAATAAAATGCAACTCCGTCAGGCAATTTAGTCTCATATATTGACTTCTGATGTCATAGCACAAGTAGCCATTTGCTCTGCTAAAGGTATATCTTAAGGTAGGGATAGGGAAGCCCTTCATGTGATATTGGCCTACAACTCCCATCATCCCTGAGCATTGGCTATGCTGGTTGGGGTTGAGTTGGGAATTGGAGTCTAGCAACATTTAGAAGGCCACTCTGCCTCGCCCACCATAAGGAATGACTCAGTTATTATCCGCATTAATTTTGAAGTGGAAAAATGCTTTATATTTGTTTACTTTAAAATTATACCTACATGGTATGGGGACTAGTGGCAGGGCAACAAAAGTGGATTTTGCAAGTCCTTATAGCTGCCAAGAGACTTATGCTTCAAGCATGGGAAGACAAACATGCACCATTTATTATGCAATGGTCTGAGGGTCTTACCCAGGGGTAGGCAACCTAAGGCCCAGGGGCCGGATGTGGCCTTCTTAATCCAGCCCATGGACGTTCCAGGAATCAGAGTGTTTTTACATGAGTAGAAAGTGTCCTTTTATTTAAAATGCATCTCTGGGTTATTTGTGGAGCATAAGAATCCTTTCATTCCCCCCCCCCCAAAAAAAATATAGTCCAGCCCACCACATGGTCTGAGGGATGGTGGACCAGCCCACAGCTGGAGAAGGTTGCTGACCCCTGGTCTTACCACTCACCTTTACAGTGGGATAGGAGAGCTGAAAAGAGACCCTTTGGTTTCATATAGTACATGAGTAGATGATTCTAAAAAGTCCAGAACACAAATTTTCACTGCCCTCTAGCAGCTATGGTGGCTCATTTACCAGAAGTAATGTATTTAGTGTTAACTCTGGACATTTATACTCAATATTGACCAAACTAAGCCTCCTAGTTGCTAGAGGGCTGTGGAAATTTGTGTCCTGGGCTTTTTAGACTTGTCTACCCATGTACAATTTGAATATGGCACATTGGTTTCCAGATGCAAAATATATCGGCATTATTTCTAGCTCTTCTATCCTACTATTACTACATTTTAACATATTTCTTAAAAATTATTGATTTCATCTGGATATCTGTCAGAACATTTGGATGGCATATATTGACATAGGTTTAAACTGAGATGGATACATTGGTGGCCATTGTCTTATTAATGTGAGCTGATGTGTGTTTTCCTCGGATTTCATTCCCCTCTTCCTTCTTGTTAAACTTGCTATAAAAACTAATTATTTGTTATTTATTTAATTGACTCACAGAACCTTTGCCTCTCTTCTCAAAGCATAACATAAGACCCCCAATCATATGATCCATACCAGAGAATGGCTGCCACTGGAAAGTACTCAAAATGGAGACAGGTAATAATTACCAGCTGTGCAGTACAGTTTTTATCATGCCACTAAAATTGAATATAATTGGCCATTTGCAGTGGTCTTATTCCACCAGCCAATTCACAAAAAGCTCACCATGCACCAGTTGCAATGATATTACTGGAACCAATAGATTTCAATTTCACTTTCTTTACATTCACAGACCTGAACTTTCAAGGGGGTATCCAATATGCTCTGTCAACCAAAAGGAGGTGATGTGAATAGGCAGTTGTCATGCTTGGGAACTAGGGCTATATCTTGTTAAAGGAACAGATCTGTAGCTTGGGAATACTCGATTCAAATCTGCTGCTGGAGGTCCAGGCAGTGGTGGAGAAACCCTCTCTGGCACCCTGGGCAGGACGCCGAGGGCGGAACGAACCACCCGGCAGCGCATGCACGACGTCTGTACGGACTGCACACGCATGGCATCCTGTATGGACTGCACACGTGCAGCATCCCGTATGGACTGTGCATACATGGCAGCCTGTACAGTCACCGTGTGAGAGGCAGCCTGTACGGCTGGATGGCACGTGCAAGCAGCAGCCCGTACGGACAGCGCGCGAGTGGCAGCTCATACGGACTGCATACTCGTGGCAGCCTGTACGGTCGCTGTGCAAGAGGCAGCTGTGAAGAGGCCATACGGATGCCCATATGGATGGTATGCATGAGTGGCAGCCCGTACGGATGCCACGTGAGCGGAGCCCATACTGACTGTGTGTGCATCCTTGGCTGCTCTACAGCTGTGGGGAGGTAGTGGGCCATCTTGCCACCCGCCCATAGTGGTACCCGGGGTGGCCTGCCCCCTCCACACACACACCCTCCGTATGCCTCTGGGTCCAGGAAGTCTTGGTGATGAGGAGGGCTTATCCCCAGTTAGGGCTGGCTCACCAGATATGACCATTGCTCAATGAGCATGGCCGGGTGTCTAATAACATCTCCTTTGAATGACGGCATTCCTTTTTAAGCGAGACTATGCTTGGATGTGCTGCAAATGTGGGAATGAACTGAAAGACAAAGACTTGGCCAAGGCCACTTCAGATATTCAGGGCTGAGGCAACACTCATACAAGACCTTTCTTCCAATTTCACCTCTTTAACCACTTTAGTATACCAGTTCTTAGGATCACCAGATTCACAAAGAAAGACAGAGCTAAGCCCAACCAACGAGTCTGCAAAAGTCTTACCTAGAGATATGTGCTAAATTTTTGTTTCCTTCTTGCCTAGTATCTCTTTTTCACTCCACTCTGAGGTCGTCTCCAGCCTCCTTTTCTCCTCATGTCTCTGCCTTTCCCTTAAGGAGCCATGTCTCTTGAACAGCTTGGGATAAGCAACATTCTGGCAGGGAATTTTAATGATGTCATAATCATAGACTCAAAAAGGCCCAGCTCATAATGCTGCCTCTGCTGTTGGGCCTTACCTATGAAAAGATGACATCAAGCGGCTATTCTAGTTATAACAACAAAGAGCTTAAAGATGAATTGGAGGAAATATGCTTCATGGGATGAGATGCATATCTTCAGATACCATGGTACCTTGGGTTACAGACGCTTCAGGTTGCACACGCTTCAGGTTACAAACTCCGCTAACCCAGAAATAGTACCTCGGATTAAGAACTTTGCTTCAGGATGAGAACAGAAATCTCACAGCAGCGGTGCAGTGGCAGCGGGAGGCCCCATTAACTAAAGTGGTACCTCAGGTTAAGAACGGTTTCAGGTTAAGAATGAACCTCCAAAACGAATTAAGTTCTTAACCCGAGGTCCCACTGTAGTATGTATCTCAACAACCCATATACTAGATACAGTGTTTTCTTTTCACAGAAAGTGTAACTTGTTGGGGGTGCAGACCTAATTAGTGTCCGTACTCAGAACATATCCTTCAGGTGTGTCAATAGTGTATCAAATAGCTTGCTCCAGAACTGGATCTAGCAACGTTACTGGTGTGTACAAAGAATATACAAGTACTATCTAAGAAATGGTTGGTGGTAATTGTGGTTTAAATGGTATCTTTGGTGCCATAAATCACCTTGAAATCTTTATGCTTTCAAAGAAAACTGGTAGATGAAAATAGGACACCTTTTTTCAGGCAGTCATTCCATGGAACAGCCTAATATGCCTTTCCTCTGTGTAGACTTGATATTTCTAACCTCTGAACCTTGTTAGAAAAATTTATTTCTACTTGATCAAATTAATAATGGAATCACAAGAGAGGCATTTGAGAGGCAATGTACCTGCCACAGTCCTAATGAAACTCATATCTGCCTGGTTGCTTAAATTTAGACATTTTTATGCCATTTCATTATTAAAAGAATAAGATTCCAAAGCCAGAGCTTAATTTCTTCCTTAGTTCAATCAATTATGTTTATAATACCAAAAGAGTTAGTATTTGATAACTTTAGTCATTCAGATTAAAGAATTCTTTCAGCAATGACTCCATACAGGACACCAGGAAACCAGAGTTATTTACTTGTTTTATTAATGGAGGAAAGACCAACACTCAGTTTTAAGAAGTTGTGAAGTTCCACATGTCTTAAGGAAAATTCAGCTTGCAGAATTCATACAAAGAAACATACAAAGCCAAGCTTGTCTTCATTGTTCCACCCACTTTAGGTTTTCCCAACTTCTAAAGAAAAAATATTGATTCCTTAATGGGACTCCCGAGCCTGTAGCTCTCAGACGAGTTTCATAACCCCAAAGCCATTCTTGAAGCCAGGGAGAACATACGATATGTACTGTAACAGCAGAGAAGGGATCTGGAATAGAGCTCCCTAGACATCTGTCTGTTGGAACAGTCAACATAGAAGAACAACATCTGGATTCAAACATTATATTAAGCACATTACATGTGATGAACTGCATTGGTGTATAGCTCAACTATTTGTGTACACATGTACAGAGATTGCACACTTGTTAAAGGTAACATGTGAGCCCTCCTAGAAACTGGGATGAAACCAGCCAACACATGCAGCATGGAAATATTTTGTCCATCTCTACTTGTCAGCATAGGCTGAGGTGGGGGAGGGGAAACCCACAAGAATCTCAATTTAAAAGCTTAGCAATAAATGATTTGGCACCTCACATCATGCAAAAACCTGACACAGAAACCTGAAGTTGACTTTCACAACATGGGATGTGAGCAGAAGCACTGAAATGAAAAGCAATATGCTGGCGCCAGTGGAGCCTGGCAGTTTTTATTATCGCTGACTTTCAAACTGGTAGAGAATTTTGCCTACATGATGAAATGACAATTCAAAGCAAACTTTGGAATAGGGTATATTCAGACTCTGAGGTGAAACAAATCATGGGAATTTGAGCAAAGGCTATTTCCTGCCGCATGCAGAGTGAACATTTGAAACCATTAAAGGTTCACAAGCTGCCATTGATGGAGGAACCATCAAAGTACACGGCAAGTGAAAGAGTAATCTCAGCTGCCCTACTTTCCCCCAAGGTGACCGAAAGGCCACCAATCAATATTTGATGGTATTTGACAATAAAGATGCAATATTTGAAAGTATGTGATGTAGAATATATAGCACTTGACATATTGTTGTTGTTGTTGGCAATGGGACAACAGCAATTGATGCTGTTGTGTGGAGACAATGGGAGGCATGTTGTATTGCACGTGGGGCAGATGAAGGTGTCTGATTTTGCTGCTACAGGTCCTCCTAGCAGTCATTCCTCATCTGGTCACTGCTAAGGATACACAACCTGTCTGTCTCAAAGCACTGTGATCATCTGGCAAGGGATTCCATACAGCAAGGTTAATGTTGTCAGCCTTCATGCCATGTTTGTAGACAGAGTTGGTCTGCCAACAGGCCTAGTGCCTGAAGCCAGCTTCCTGTAGAGCATATCCTTGGAGATCCTGCCATCTTCTGTTTTGTGTACATGACCAAGCCAGCATAGACATCACTCAGACAGAAGCCTCAATGTTTTCCACATGTGTTGCGTCAGAAAGATTTCTGGGCATCACATGACAGGACAGAGTCCAAACAAAGATGTGCTCTCTGAAGCCCACATTCGCAGCGAGTCATATAGCAAATAATGAGCAGCTCTTGATAGCAACATGGTTAGCAATATGATGCCCGCCGTGTGGCAAATAACACTTGGAAGTAGCAGACATGCAGCAGTCAACAGATGCTGTTACAAGACAGGAGATGTGCAGTGGAAATAAAGATGGCTGACCTGCAATACAATTTAGTAAATTGCATATTTTCATTCATTTGTTCAAACAGAACAGGAACATTTCAAGTTTGAACATAGACAGGGAAATCTTATGCTTGCTTGTCTGGAAATAAGCCCCAATTAGTTTGATGGAATTTTCTTTTATATGAGAGAGCATTGTATTTCAGCCAAACTTCAAGTCTGGAAGATGAGAAGCTCTTTGGGAAAGATTGCAAGTTATTACACAGTATTCCAGCAATCTTGAAATACGTCTATAAATGACAGCATTGGTGGACACAGGTGACCATCTCAGGCACAACTGAATCAGTCCTGAGGCCCAACTCCACATTCTAACAGTGGACCAGTGGCTGCTTGAATATGCCACTACATAGAAGTTATGGCAAAAAGTACGTTGAGGTTTCTTTAAAACAAAGTGGTATATAAATTTTATTAAATAAAATAGATAAGATAAGTGGGGGGCAGCCAGCATGGTGCCATCCGAATGTTATTGAATTCCAGCTCCCATCAGCCGCAACCAGCATCACCAATTAATAATAATAATAATAATAATAATAATAATAATAATAATAATTTTATTATCTCTACCTTGCCATCTGGATGGGTTTCCCCAGCCACTCTGGGCAGTTTACAGCATATATAAAACATAGTAAAACATCAAACATTTAAAACTTCCTGATACAATGAAGCTGCCTTTAGATGCCTTCTAAAAGTTATGTAGTTCTTTATCTCCCTGACATCTGATAAGAGGGCGTTCCACAGGGAGGGCACCACTACTGAGAAGGCCCTCTGTGTGATTCCCTGTAACTTTGCTTCTCACAGTGAGGGAACCACCAGAAGGCCCTCGGAGCTGGACCTCAGTGTTTGGGCTGAACGATGGGAACTTACAGCATATGGAGAATACCATGCTGCCTAACTGAGCAATAAGATATTCATGTGAGTGGTCCTGATTATTATCAGGAAGGGAAATAGCTATGGGGTGTTGAAAACTGTCGGCATGGTTCAGAGATCCAGTTTACATAGCTATTTTGCAATGTAGAATAGCCACTACACATAGTATTTCTAAACCAATTACGCATCTGAATCGCTCAGGGCCAAAACACATTACATGCTTGCCATAGGAATGCTGAGCCTTCTGACCCTCATTCTGGTCATAAGTCAAAACCACATACTCTGCCATCACATCATAATTGTGATTATCCACATCAGGGCTTTTTGTCAGTCAGATCTCAGTTCCAGCACCTCTCAGGTGGGTTCCCTTGCCATTATAAGAGAACAAGGGAGGCATTCATGGTGAGTTCCGGCACCTCTTTTTCTAGAAAAATAGCACTGCTCCACACCCATTTTTCCAGTGTTCACTGGAGGGTGTGTGGAGACCCACTGCATCATGGCATAGGTCTGCATGTTAAATGTTTCCAGAACTGGGCAGGAGAGGAATTGGTTATCTTGAGAACAACAGCACCTGTGTGACAGCTTTAACATGTGTTCCATCCCTGAGCAATTCTTATCAGCAGCAAATTCCATAGCAGCAATGTGAATCTGTTGCAAGAAAAAGAACAGAGTCTTGTGTCACCTTTGATTGATTGATTGATTGATTGATTATGGCATAAGCTATAATGGAGCTAGGATCTACTTTGTCAAATGCATGAAGTGTTATCTGCTGTTGGCAGATATAATAGAAAGACAGATATCTACCTACCTACCTACCTACCTGTCTATCCCATTTATGATTTTCTCTCTGCTGAGAATAACACTTCATGCATCTAAGATGGGGTCTAGCCACTAAGGCTTATGCCTTGATAAATCAGACAAAGGAAGTCTGTAAGGTTCCACAAGTCTCTCTGTTTTTTATACCAGTATGCTGTTTTTTCACTCCTTTCCAATGTTGGGAAATGTTTAAAGCCCTGCTGGGTAATTAATGCTCCAACAAGTTCCTTCTCAGGAGCATAAAATGCTACTGCTTTTATACAAAAGGCTTGGTAATTCAATAAACAGGTACAGAAAAATAACCTACACCTTGTTTTTAAAAAATCCTCTTGTACATCAACACAGTTCCTCCATGGGGGCGGGGATCCACCCTTGAATAGGGATGGGGGCGGGAATTGATTCAGTTCACATCTAAAGGCAAATCTCTCTAATTTTCATTTTGCAAAACAATATGCACCCGCAAACACAGACATCCTCTGAATCTTGCAATGCAGTTCTACAGCCAAGTAATATGTAGAAACATTTATACACAAGGGTAAAGTAAGCCTTAAAATGTGTATAATGGTGAAAATAACATACAAAATTTAGTTATATATGGGGACAGTTCTTGTAAGAACTGGGACCTGCGGGTATAGGGTGCTATACAAATTTAATGAATAATAATAATAATAATAATGATATTTTTGCAAAGCAATTTATGCTAAAAAAACGATAAATTTTCACGAGGACTTCTATTTTTTGAAAACAAGAAAATCACAAACTGCTGTGGAAATGAGGATACATGAACTTACGAGTGGGAAACTGAGTGAGACTAAATTTGACAGATTTTCCCATCCCTGCTCTTGACAATCTTCAATTACTGTTTGGGGAACTTCTAAGTCTAATTATTTTTGTTTGTGACTGCTGCTCTGGAGCTTGATTTGACTGGAGTAGCACTGATGGTAAAGAGAGTGTCTTTGTGTTCTTCCCAATTAAGCCTTTTGCTTGAAATTGTTTTGTGGCTTGGGAGGAGGGGTTGGGGAGTCATGTCAGCACTGCTACTACAATAAATGAAGAGAGCCAGCACTTTAGAGTCTGAATGATAAACATGAACATTTCCAAGGCTGAGAATTTCAAGTCGGTTGTTAATTAGCTGGCAGCAAACAGCACAGACAAATATTTTGCTCTCAAGAACGACAGCAGTCTGTTGTTGTTTTTAACAAGGCTTCAGCTGGAGCATTTTGCCCAGCGAAATAAAAGCTTGTCATTAAGTGTCGTTTGAACTGGTGTCATAAATGAAATCTAACAGAGGCGACATTACTTGCTACTTGAACTAGTGCAGATAATCGAAGCGGGAGCGAGAAAGCAGCCCTAGCAAACATTATGCTCCTGCCTCAGGATGGTGTTCATTCAGTAAGTCACAAAACTTAATGGTGCAGCAATATACATTGGGTAGCCAGAGCTATTTTCTGCTTAGCCACGGGGTAAGATACCGGAATATTTGGCAAAATGTCCATTGCTGAGTGTGCAGAATGACAAAAAGGTGCTTTGTTTTCCTTCCTTGTTTTCTGGGGTTTTGCACTAACTTTAGAAAATGTGGTCTCAGGCAGCTGAAAACAGATCCACTGAATTCAGTCTTTAAAAGTCGTTCAGTTTTTCTAAACAGTGACTGAAATTTAAGTCAGCAAAGCAAATGATACAATAGCCATACAATAGGCTACGTTCCAATCACAATTAATAAATTTCTACACACAAACACACACAAAGCAGGAGGTATGAACACAATTCAAGGATACGTTCCAGCCAAGCAAATACTCTTGAACAGGATGCCGAGCAAGGCTGGTGAACAGCATGGCCTAGGGAGTAGGCACAGTATGGGAGAGTCCCAAAGGCCAGGCTAACAGACCAGGGCAGAAATTAAATTTGGTATCTGGGTCTGAGGTTCTCCATTCCTGAGCTAAAATAACGTTACATATTTACATTGGTGTTGGTTATGGATAGGGATGAAAGTATTGGTCAATACTGATTCTCTCATTTTTCCAATCTTAGATTTATTTCCTCACATTTTGCAGCAGTCTGGTGTGTGTGTGTGGGTGTGTGTGTGTGTGTGTGTATGTGACATGAAAATTCACCAGCATTTTAGTGTGTCAGGCTTCGGAGAATCAGATTCCTCCCCCATGGCAGTAGATAAGAAAATCAAGCAAAAGGAACGTCTTACCAGTTAGATTCTTTAATAATCACAGTGAGAGATAAAGAACACATCTACCTAGAAATGGCAGTGCTCCCAGTTAAGGGTCACTCCCATCTTCGTCCCTATTAATCTATGTAATTCCTACGTTTTGTAATCTGAGTTTGCACCCTCTGCACTTTCTGTTCTAACACTTTCTGAGCTCTCTGTGTCTTTGGAGAATGGGGGTGAATGCTGTCCAGAAGCTGTGAATCTGTTAACTCTCTCTTCTAGTGTTTCTTCTGCTAGCTGTTCCCCATCCTGTATTTCCCAGCTTCTGCCTTCTGAACTATGCCCCTCTGCAAACCACTGTTCCAAATCTATATTGTCCTCCTGCTCCTGGGAAGATTCAGGATCAGGATCATGGGGAGGGGGTGGCTCCCACTATTATTCCTCAGTGCAGCCCTC